TATACACAGTAACATGGAAGGGCCACGCGTGATCGTCCTCGCCTACCCGCTCCCGAACCGTGTGCAGTGCCCTCGCTGCTACAAAGGCGGGGACGATTACGAACGCACGCGAGGGGAGTTTTGCGATCCGGCTCACCTAGTCAAACATCTTAATAAAATGCACCCGGGGGACACGGTCGCGTACGAGTGCTCGGTGTGCCAGTACCGGGGTAAATCCCGGTACCCCAAAAAAGATGTGGCCGCCCACTATGACCGCCGGCACTCGGTCCCCCGGACAGAGCCGGCGCAAACTTCTGGCACGGGAACGCCTCCGGTGCAGTCGCCCGCGCGCGGCAGGTGTGCCACCGATGGCACAGGTGCGCGGGCGGGGGGGCGCGCGCGCTTAGACAGCTGACGCTGGCGGGCGCGCTGTCGACGAGCCGGGGCCGCGCTTCGCGGCCACCTGGGCGCCCCACGGCCTCCCCAACGCCATCGCCACCGCCACCCATCACCACCAGGGCCGGATCCCCCTCATTCGCGGCCGTTACCGCGGCGTCGAGAATCAGCCCATTGACAGCCGGGGCCCGCGGTACGGTCGCCACGGGGAGCACCGCGCTGCGCAACAGCAGCAGCAGAACATCAGCAGCAGGAGCAGCCGCCGCGAGGACGCGGACTCCTCCTGGCCAAGTGCCAGCCTCCAATGGTCCGCTGGCCAGGTCGACGCGCGCTCCCCTCCGCCGTCTCCTTTCTACAACGCCATCGCCACCGGCAGACACCGTGGAGACGGCGGAGAGGAATAGGCGAATTTTAAGCCTCAGGCGTAAGTTGCCCGCCGCGCCACCACCACCACCCGCGGTTTCCGGCACTGGGGCCGGAGCCACGCGGCGGGCAACGCGCGCGTCGACCTCGATGCCGAGGGAGATTCCCACCAGGCCGGTGCGCAACTCCCCCCCTCCCCCGTCAACCCAGGTGACGGGGGGACCGTCCACCAGCAGGGGGGGAGAGAATAGAAGAATGACGCGGTCAACGAGCGTACCGGCCGTGAAGACGGGAACACGTCAGCGGACCACGCCGCCCCGACTCTCACCTATCGGGGAAGCACCACCCTCCCGTCGGGTCGCCACGAGGAGCCAGGCGAAGAGACCCGGCGGGCAGCAGGAAAGAACACCGCCGCAGCCCAGGGTGGTGCTAAGGAGGCTGAGCACGCCGACGTCGCAACAGGGGGGCGTATCACCGAGGACGGTGTCGACGCAAACGCCCCCCTCGGCAGGCCAGACCTCCCCCATTACAGCTTCGTGGGAGGTTCTGGCCTTGCCCGCCACACCACCGGACATCGTTGCGACGTCGGCCGTATTAACATCGAATACCACGATGACGGTGACGACAACGGTGTGCCGCAGCCCCATTATGTCAATGGGGCTGCCCACACCGCCGGGGGGAACGTCGCCCCCCCCCGCAGAGGACACCGCAGAGCCCTCAGTCCATCGGAGGGCTCTCTCCCGTCGCCGTGGAGGCTAGGAGGAGTCCCTTCACACCGACCACGATGCCAGTAAGGGCCATCGAGCGGCGGCCGGAGGACGCCAGCGTGGTGCTCCTCTCTACGGACAGCGAGGGGGAGGATATGGGAGGCCCGTGGAGGACGGTGCGCCCGGGGCGAAGGGCGAAGCGGCGCCGGCTCTTGAGCGGCGGCTCGCCCGGTGGCGAGATATCGGCCGCGGCGACGATAGCGCGCGCGTCACCCCCGCCCCCGCCTTTAACGCCGGCGAATTATCCGGAGCTGCCCCGAACACCATCCGCGGAGGGGCAGCCCTCACCAACTTTGAGGCCGGCGGCTGTGCGAAGCCGGCTTTCTCTTCCGAGGACGGAGGAGACTGGAGGAGACACGGTGGGTACTGACGCCATTCCCAGCGTCGCCCATCCGAGTGCTCCCGCGAATGTCCGCGGAGTCATGGGCCGTCCGCGCACCCGTGGGACCCGCGTACAGGCCTCCGGGGAGAGCGAGGCACCTGCGCGTCTTGTTTCCCCCATAGGGCACGGGAGGGCCCGCCGACAGAGGGGACGCGCCGACGCCCAGGCCGATCGGGCGCCCCGTCAGCCGGGCCCCGCCAACGCTCAAAGGCAGCGAAGGCGGGAATCCCTGGCTGTTCGGGACGCTCTGGTCGGGCGGGCGGAGGCAGTCGCGACGATTGCGGACTTGGAGGAGTTCGCGGCTTCGGTCACGAATTACTTCAAGGAGGAAGCAGCGTCAACCGCTGGCGGGGAGCCGTCCAGAGCCTCAGACCGTCCACGCCGGACGGGTCGGCCTCGAGGGCGTCGAGGGGCGGAGGCAGAGGACGCCGGACTAGGGGGCGCACAACGCGAGGGGGGGAGGGGGCAGCGCCGGCTGACCACCCTAATTCGGGAGAAAGACGCGGGGGCTGGGTGCGCGAAGCAAAACGCATTCAGGCCTTATACAGGCGGAACCGCCGCAGGGCGGTCCGCGAGGTGTTACAGGGCCCCGCTGACCTTTGCCAAGTGCCGAGGCAGCGGGTGTACCAGCACTTCCGCGGGCTGTACTGCGGCGAGGACCGCCTGGGCGACGCCGGTGCGGATGCGGAGCCAGCCGAGCCTGCCACGCCGGAGGACGTGGCGTGCCTGACGGATCCGTTCACGGAGGGAGAGGTGAACCGTCGGCTCCGGCGTATGACTAACTCTGCGCCGGGCCCCGACGGGCTCACCTACCGTGATCTCCGTGGTGCTGATCCCGGCACGCGGCTCCTGGCAGCGCTGTTCAACATCTGCGTCCGGCTGGAGGTGGTCCCCGCGTCTTGGAAGACCTCCAATACTGTGCTGGTGCACAAAAAAGGAGACCGCGACGATTTAGACAACTGGCGCCCCTTAGCTCTCGGCGACACCATGCCGAAGCTCTTCGCCGCCGTCCTGGCCGACCGTCTGACCGGTTGGGCTGTCGACCAGGGGAAACTTAGTCCGGCGCAGAAGGGATTCCTAAGGGGCGAGGGCTGCTACGAGCATAACTTCGCCCTGCAGGAAATCCTGACTGATGCCCGGAGGCGTCGCAGACAGGCGGTCCCGCACGCGACGATCCGCCGCGCATTCGTTCGAGCCGGTGTGCCACGGAAAGTCATAGAAATATGGCGATCCATGTACGACGATTGCACGACCCGGGTCAACACCGTGGACGGCTTCACCGCGCCCATCCCCATCCGCTCGGGGGTGCGCCAGGGATGTCCCCTGAGCCCCATCACGTTCGACCTGGCCATCGACTCGGTACTGCGTGCAGCCACCGCTGTCGGGGCCGGGTACGATCTGGGTGGGGCTACGTGGGCCGTGATGGCCTACGCGGACGACATCGCCTTGGTGGCCGACACGCCCGAGGGGATGAAGCGGCTTCTTGCCGCGATAGAGGACGAGGCTGCGTCGGCAGGTTTTAGGTTCAACCCTGCCAAATGTGCCACCCTGCACATCGGTGCGGGGCGGGCCGGCCGCGTCCTGCCGACGCGATTCGTCCTCCAGGGCCAAACGGTGCCCTGCCTGGCAGAGGGGGAGCCTTATCGGCATCTCGGTGTCCCTACGGGATTCTCGGTCGACCAGACCCCGTACTCCACGATCCGCGGGCTCCTTGAGGACCTTCAGAAGGTCAACCGTTCGCTCCTCACCCCGTGGCAGCGCCTGGAGGTAGTGTCCACCTTCTTACTGCCCAGGCTAGACTTCCTGCTGCGGGGTGCTGCCGTAGGTAAGCGCCCCCTCAAGGAGGCGGATCTTCAGATCCGTCGCCTGGCCAAGTCGTGGCTGAATCTCCCGCAGAGAGCGAGCGCGGAGGTAGTCTACCTCCCACCCAAATGGGGGGGCGGTGGACTCCTGCCGCTTTGCGACCTGGCCGACTCCTTGACCGTGGCTCACGCGTTCCGTATTCTTACGGCGGGTGATGCCGCGGTCCGGGGGCTGGCCTGGTCCTCGCTGCGGGGAGTGGTTCAGCGGCGAATTGGCCGCGTCCCTGAGCCTGAGGACATCGCGGCCTTCCTGTCAGGATCGATGGAAGGTCGGCTCAGGGGCGGGGGGGAGGCCTCCTTCTGGTCGGACGTTCGGAACGCCGGACGGAGACAATCCGAGAGGTTGTCTGTGCGGTGGAGATGGGTGAGGGAGACCGGGGAGATGACCGTGGGATGCCGGGGCCTCAGGGGCGCGACGGTGACTGTGCCACCAGGAGCTCGCTCCCAGGTGACACGCATGCGCTCGGCTGTGTCATTGTATTACCGTGAGACATTGGTCCGAAAACCAGACCAGGGGAAGGTGTTCGAGGTGTCGTCGCGTCATGCGGTGAGCAATCACTTCATGCGCGGCGGCAGCTTCACCCGCTTTGCCGACTGGCGCTTCGTTCATCGCGCCCGCCTGGATGTCCTCCCGTTAAACGGAGCCATCCGGTGGGGGAGCGGTGACCGACGCTGTCGGCGCTGCGGGGCGGAGCTTGAGAGCCTTCCCCACGTTTTAGGTCACTGCGGCGTCCATGCAGCCGCGATACAGCTGAGACATGACGCCGTCCTGCACCGTCTCTGGAAGGCTTGCCGCCTGCCAGGCGAGGTACGCGTGAACCGGCGGGTCGAGGGGGTCAGCGACGGGCTGACGGGGCTACGGCCTGATCTGGTGATCAGGCACGAGCCCTCGAAGTGCGTCGTCATCCTCGACGTGACGGTGCCCTTCGAGAACCGGGCCATAGCTTTCGAGGAAGCAAGGGCGAGGAAAGTCATCAAGTACTCCGCCCTTGCCGAGGAGCTCCGGTCTCAGGGGTACCGTGTCGAGGTGGCGGCTTTCGTCGTGGGCGCCCTCGGCTCGTGGGATCCGGCTAATGAGGGGGTGCTCGATCTCCTGCGCGTTTCTAAACGCTACGCGGGGATGATGCGCCGCCTCATGGTCTCGGATACCATTCGCTGGTCCAGGGACATCTACGTGGAGCACGTGAGCGGCGTACGTCAGTACGGAGCTCCTCCACCTCCTCCTGAGGACGGGAGCCTGGCCGAGCCGCCGCAGGCTATTCGCCGGCGTTGGCCTGAAGCGCTGCGCGGCGATGACTGCGGTGCCTCGCGAACGCTTAGTATGTATGCAACGTAATTGCGATGCGGGGCGGGCCTATTTGAATTGTAATCTCCGTTTTTACCCTGCGTCGGCCCGCCCCCGCCAAGTGTTTGAATGTCGCGTGTTTTTCTCCCGAGTGTGAATGCCGCGTATACGTATGTGTTGTCATTTTATACTGCCCGACTGCGTGTTCATTTTAATATTTATATTCTTGCCGCGCGTGCACTCCCAGTGTTTTTAATATTTTTTGACTCTGCGTGTTATTTATTTATTTATTTATTTAAATGTCTGTGATTGTCCACACTGGGAGTGGCACTACTTAAACTGTGATATAATTGCCCCCGTCTAGCAGCGGGGGCAATTAAATATTGCGTACCTGCGAGCGAGTGTGGGGGGCTGTGCTCCCCACACCGCGTTAGTTGTAGTGCCCACGAGCCGGGGGGGGCCTATTGTCCCCCGGCCATGAATTATTTAGTTGGCGCGCGGCCTAACGCCGCAATCTTTGTACTTGTACCCCGGGGGGACCTGTCCCCCTGGGGAAATTAATTGAAAATAAAAG